TAGAAGATAGTCTCTCGCTGAAAGAAAGATAAAAGCCGTGACAGTTTATTCAAGGTGGGCGCGGTTCATTATGAGAAACTTTTTTTTTGTGAAAGGGCTACGAAAAAGAAAAGAACATTATAGCTTGGTCATAATTATGTATAAGGAACTATGTAAAAGATGTGCTCAAAAACTTGTTCGCTTTTTTGTTTCTTTATAAAGGAAAAAAAAATGGATAACCGCGTGAAAAATAAAAAAAATAACCTCGAAAAAAAACTGAAAAATGTTTATTTATACAAAGGCATGCTTTCTTATTTCCAAATATGTTAATTGAATTCTAAATTTGCCGTACGTATCGGCTTTCGGCTAATAAATTGCCTACCAACTTTACTGGTAATGATGTAAGCTCTAATGAATTAATTGATGAGTATAACAATAAAAAGAAAATTATTCTCGTGTCATTTCCGATCAATTTTAAATTTAAACATGGGTTGAAGATTTATGAAATGCTGTAATTTTATACTATTTAAAATTTCATTCTATAAATTTAAAAGTATTAATTTTTTCAAATACAAAAAATTTGCGTTTCAACAAAATTGGTAAATTAAATAATGGCTATCCCTGTATTTTATTTTTTGATTTGTATCTGACTGAATCAATCATAAAACCCAGTATCTTTACAATATTTCTGGACATAACGTCTTCTACACTTTCCTCTAAATGACGCTTTGGAACCTGTTTTCCAACATGTCGAGTTTTCAATTGTTCAGGTGTTATGGTTGATTCCTCTTGTACCGATTTATTATAAGATTCCGCCAATGTAAGCATCGTTTGAAATTTTTTCATAAGCAAATCGAAAAAAAAAAATCTTTTTTGGAAAGAAAGGTAAGTCTAAATTACATTGACACTCTTTCCATTGATCTCGTTGTGTTCCGTAAAGTTTGGCAGCGTCAATCCATGGGTCCAAATTTTTTTGTGCAAATTGAGCAACATTTTCATTCTTTCGATAATTAATAGCAATCGAATAATAATGGATCAAAGCCTAAGTAAGGATAAATCAAAGAGTTAACGAATATAAACTTTAAAATCAAAACAGATTT